TGTGTTGTTCGGTCAGTCTTTGAATATTTTTCTGTATTTGAATTCTTCGATTAGTTATTCTACAGATAGTATTAAAAGTATGGATATCAGATTAAAATGGAAAATACATGTAAAGTATCAACTTTTTTTAACATTCATAAAAATTAAACAGAAAAAACTCTCATAGATATGAACGGTCATTCGCTCTTCATTTATGTTTCTTTGTATCCTACATGAGCATTCGACTTTTATTCAAATACTGATTAAATTATTAGATGATTTTTAGATTTATATTAACAAAGTATATACTATAGTATATATCAATTTATTAATGTTGTGGCAGTGTCCGTGTCCATGTGACAAGTTTGATAGCCATTGTTGGTTTATCCTACCATGCCAATTCAACTGTTGGACATGTTGGAGGGCAGCCCTGTATCCCTCAACTGTCTTATAGCATGCGATGTTTTCTTCCTGATAGTTCCACTGCACTTTTGTTTTATGCTTTCTTGCAAATGTTTTTAAGCTGTTTGTGTTTGACTAAAGTTTTTTGTCTTGACTTGGTGTTTGTTTCTGAATTATTATAAACGTGAGCGACCTAGATTAAAAATAATCTTTTCATATCATGATATCATCATCATGTACATTAGTCATTACAGGTCTATATTATATTAGAAGGGGTGCAGGTCGTTTCGTAACTAGTCGATTCGTAACTAACAATTTTGTTTTGTAACTGAGACGTTACGTAACTTTATAACACTATATACAATAATATAATAATATGAGTTCTAGCCTAGTAATGGTCTTCTGATTATATATATATCATTTACAGGTTTGGCCAATGTGTACATGATGTATATGACAATGTCGTCCAATTTAAGTTTTAAAATGTTTAGATTTGTAAATGCAAATTAACTGCTCAAAGTTTTTCACTGAAGCTTGGCATCCCTTTGACCTTTGGTTTACTAGGGCCTCTATGTTAAGAACTCTAAGGAACTCGGTTCAATTCCATACAAGAGCTACACTGAACATATAAATACCCCGACACACCGCACTTCCTTTCTCCTTTTACTAATTCGTTGATTAAAAGAAATGGACCCATATTGCACTGTCTGCAGAACTTTAAATTGTCTAAAAGAACAGCCCATTCAACGCATCGTCTCACAGAGGACCAAGACAAGTGCGTGATGTGTTGACTTTCCTACTTTTAACTAATCTTTCTATGCCGGGGAAACAAATTTCACAACCAGTTGCATCCAAATTGCACACATGATTTCCACATAGCGAAAAAACGAAGAGACGTCAATTGGCGTACTTTGTTTGGTAAAACGCTCTCGTCTGTCTCGGCAGCCGATCGAGTCGTCCAAATTTGATTACCTTAACTTCTATTTCCGGATTGACACAATTTGGACAATTTTTTAGAAATAATGAGCGTTTACTCTATAGTTAATGTAAATATACTTTAAGTAAGCCTTTCTGATATTTTAGGAATCATTTTAAAAATAATAGTTATACTTTCGCTTACATGGCGTAAAATACCGAGGTGTTGAGAAAATTGAGATCTCTGTAAACTCCGGAAATCTTTTTTATGGGTCGGATACCTGAAACGCTACTTGATTACAAAAATAATGACCCTTCCCTTTTTTGCTTCTTTATTTTGTAAAATATAAGCATGTAAGTGTGATGAGTCTTATGTAGACGAAACGCGCGTCTGGTGTTTTAATTATAATCCTGGTACCTTTGATAACTATTTACACCACTGGGTCGATGCAACTGCTGGTGGACGTTTCATCCCCAAAGGGTATCACCAGCCCAGTAGTCAGCACTTCGGTGTTGACATGAATATCAATTATATGGTCATTTTTATAAATTTCCTGTTTACAAATCTTTAATTTTTTCGAAAAACTAAGGATTTTCTTATCCCAGGCATAAATTACCTTAGCCGTATTTGGCACAACTTTTTGGAATATTGGGTCTTCAATGCTCTTCAACTTTGTACTTGTTTGGCTTTATAACTATTTTGATCTGAGCGTCACTGATGAGTCTTATGTAGACGAAACGCGCGTCTGGCGTATTAAATTATAATCCTGGTACCTTTGATAACTATTTTCACCACTGGGTCGACGCCACTGCTGGTGGACGTTTCGTCCCCAAGGGTATGACTAGCCCAGTAGTCAGCACTTCGGTGTTGACTGGTGACATGAATATCAATTATATAGTCATTTGTATAAATTTCCTGTTTACAAAACTTTGAATTTCGAAAAACTAAGGATTTTCTTATCCCTGGCATAGATTACCTTAGCCGTATTTGGCACACACTTTTTGGAATTTAGGGTCCTCAATGCTCTTCAACTTTGTACTTGTTTGGCTTTATAACTATTTTGATCTGAGCGTCACCGATGAGTCTTATGTAGACGAAACGCGCGTCTGGCGTATTAAAATATAAACCTGGTTGGTACCTTTGATAACTATTAATTTTGCTAAAATGTTTTAAGCTGAAAAGAATACTTTGAACTTCGGATGTTTTAAAAATTCTTAACTTTAAATTTATTATTCGGATATTTCTGTTCAACTTGTTCAAGGTTAATACATTATCCATGTTATCAGTTTAGGACCAATTATGTAGTTTTCAGAAATTATCGTGTTTTTAGTTTCCAAACCTGAAAATTTTGATATTAATCAAAACGTTATAAATGAACTTCTAACTAACTCATGTACAGCTGTATCACATAGTCCCAGCTAAAGTAGTCTGACTATATATCATAGGGAACAGAAGTAAGCTGACCAATGGAAGTAATTATTCAATCCAAACATATCAACAAAAAGAACACAAGACTGGGGGAATCTCGTGAACTCAACATTATAAAAGATTAGTGTGTCAAAGATCATGAATTGCGTGCTATAACTATAAGACATACCCAAACCGTATTGTAATATATTAGAGGCCCCATTATGATGAACTGTATAAACAATTCAAAATGAAAACAGACGTCTTTATTATACAACAACAATAAACCGAAAGCAAATTGGAGAAATGGAATTTACAACAATCGCATTTCAAGTTCCTGGCTATGGACAAACACATACAGAATGTGGCGGATTTATGAGGATTTTGATATCGCAACCCTCTAGATCTGCTACATGTACTGTTGAAGAGATGTGTTATAACACAAAATATGTACAAAATCAGCTGGAAAAGGCTTACAGTGAAGGTTAACGGATTTTGTGTAAACATATCTTACAATGTTAGCATATATTGTGTTATAATTACATGAATACAACGTTTGAACACTTAAAAACTTAAACAAAAATTTCATTTAATAAGTTATATTCAATATATTAAAAGCTTATATTTCGATCACAATTCGTCACATCCTTTCACAACATCTGCTCAACTGACATCATCCCAAATTTATCAGTTCTATAGAATTTGGAGATGCATTCCCGACAAAAACAGTTAGTTGCGATTGGCAAATATGGATTTTTTTTCGCAAAACGTGATGGAACGTATGTCATATGTACAATTTGTATTTGTTTTTTTTTAATTCATTTCATAAGTTTGCATTTGTTAAATTTTTTGAATATCATAATTGTTAGGCGTTTGCGCATATCAAGATTTCAACACATATACAACTTCGTACATTATCAAGTATAGTGGGGTATACAAAATCCAGTCAATATATTTTGGTTTGTAAGACATGTTGACCTTAAATATCCTTTTCTTAAAACTTTATTATAAGGCTAATCCTTTCAAGTACAAAAAATGTATAATGCAGATTCTACCAGATGACCAACATAAATTTAATTCAAAAGCATACAATGATAAAAAATGAGGTTCCAACTCCCTAAATCGAAGTTGACCTTATATACGCATTGATCTTCTAACTCTTCACATGTATAGTTCTTTTACATCTCTTGATTTACCAAAAAGCTAGGGTTAAGAGTTCCTGATATAGGTAAATCCTGAATATGGCTTTTCATTTATCACCACTTCAATCAACCAGAATGAGGAACGTTCATTAATTCTAAATAGGAGGATTCTAATTAAATATTATTACATGTATGATTTTAACACTTCTATTATTTTTAGCTTCCCACCCTGTTTGCAATAATATTGGATACTTTGCTTCATTTCTTTACACATTTATTGATTAGATTTCGAATAGCAATAGGTTACAAAACTAACTAGTTAACGTGGGATAAATAGAAGAAAAAAAAACAATGCAACATCTCTACTATACTTGGTGAACTTATTTTTCAAATGGCAGTGAAATTTTTGAAGTCTGTGAACCTCATTCACTATATATTATCTTTAGTAGGAGACAACGGTTAAACTTAACTGACAATTGATGAAAATGACACGCGAAGTGCGCACTAAACGTAGTACAAGGCGTATATTTTAATCAGAAAAACATATCTTATTGCTACCTTACTACTACTAACGTCTCATAAAATGTTTTAATCGTATACTCTTACGTGTATTTGAGTAAATTGTAAAATCTTTAATAAACTCAACCTATATATGTACTTTCAGATCAAACGACGCACATAATAGTACAGTTCCTTTGATTGAAAGTAATAGAATAAGTAAGTGATTATAGGATATTGTTTGATATAACAAAAAAAGAGCCGGTCCGATTTTTTCAAGTAATGGAAATAAAAATGTTCCAAAGTTCTTATTTACAATTACATTGATCATTCTATCTAGTTATTTCTGCATCATCGACCCCTATTTGGTAATATGTTGACTCGCGTATGCATATGTTAAGTTTCAGTGTAACAGTTCACAATGCAGAATATTCTCATATATTCAGAAATGAATATTCTATAAATTGTTTACCCGTTGTTGGAATTGGCCAAATTTCAATATCACGAATCTGAGATTCATACAATATGTAACAAAAAAGCTTTACTCTACAGTCCTAATGAAGTCTAAAGATCTATGGCTTTCAATACAAATACAATGTGAAAAAATGAAGGGAAAATATATCAAAATAAAACAATTCTTACAATTTTAGGTTACTCAAATGCACGCATAGTTGCAACTCTAATCAGTGTTAGTATTGCTGGTGAGTACATTATATCATACCATTTGTAATGATTTTGTGTGGACTAAAAATACAGTTGTAACAATTTAGCTAACCGACTTTCAAAATTGTTTTAAGGGCATACAATACAGTAGATATCCTCGTTGATTTTGTCCTAAAATTTTGGTAGAAGGTCAATTTCAATGTGTACTTTTGATATGTGCAAATAAAAACATACCTTCATGACTTACTTTTTGAGATAATTTTGTTCGAAATGTGCATATTTAAAGGAAAAACCTGGAAATTGCATGAATAGGGACTTGTGAGGAAAGTATCAATACTTTTGAACGAACAGTCGTAATTTAACTAGGTGTTTTTTTGCAAAATGTTCCCTTGATCCATGGCATCAACATGCTGTAATTAGTTCAAGGTTAAAGGTTTTACATCTATTCAGAAGTGCAGAAAAGTTTGATCGTTGATATTTTTCATAGAATTTTGGCGGAGCGTTCCTGAAACATTCGTTGATGGATCGAAAAAGAAAAAAAATGGGGGTTGTTTTTTCAATAAAGCAACAAACCTTGATTATTAATGGCAAACGACACGTTTGCTTATACGGCGCTAAACTACATTTGAATAAGTTTTAATCGCAACAACATTGTGAAATCTTTACCGCCGTGCACGACTACGCGGTCAAGTTCAGTGGTATAGCAAAGTTGTTTTCTTCGAAAGCAATGATATTAATCATCAAAAATCATAAAGCTGGTTACTCGTAAAACAGCATAAATAAAGGCAACAGTAGTATACCGCTGTTCGGAAGTCATAAATCGATTGAGACAAAAACAAATCCGGGTTACAAACTCAAATTGAGGGAAACACATCAACTATAAGAGGAAAACAACAAAACAACAGAAACACTGAATTGAACAAAAAACAAACTACAATGCAACACACACACAGAAACGAACTATGAGATAAATACTGCCATTTTCCTGACTTGGTACAGGACATTTTAAGAAAAAATGGTGGGTTGAACCTGGTGTTGTGGCTAGCCAAATCTTGCACTTTAATGGCAATGTTAAATATAACACTAAAATGACACCATTACATGACAGGAATACAGTACAAAGAAATGCATAAAATATTTGTCAAACCTTTATGAATTGTTACGAAACTTGGATGGAAAAGGTATTTTAGTAAATTACTTTTAGAAAAGAAATGTTCGGAAACATAAAAGATAAATCTAATAAAAAAATTATTTGCATCTCTGTCCGACATTAGTCCTACAATTCATGTAGACAACACAGCTTCAGCATAGTTTTAATTATTCAAAAGGCCTTGACACGACAAAATGAGAAACAATTATAAAGTACAAAAGCAAATTAAAGTGGGATAATATGAAAATAAGGGTATTTGGTATGATTGCCGATGAGACAACTATCAACCATAGTTCAAATGACGAAGATAAACGCAATCAAAGGTCTTCGACACTTAAAAACCCACACCGTATAGTCAGCTTGAAAAAGCCCCGAATTGAAAATGTGAAACCATTAAAAAAAAAAAAAAAAAAACTAACGGCCTACTCTATAGACATTATACATGAACACAAAACAATACCTACATGTACATGATTAACTCGGGTCAGCTTAGAAACTACTATTAACATGTTGATAACAGTGAATATTTAGAGCTATTTTGAGAAAATTATTAGAGCATAACATCGTATGATTCTGTTTCGATAGATAAGTAATCTTAGCTTGTCTTCAGGGTATTGTTATTACGGTGCATATAACTATTGACCTATACCCCGTTCACACTTTGCCTTTTTAAACCGGGTTCGACCCGAACTAGTAAATACGGGTTAAATTTATGTAGTGTGAACGCCTTAAACCGGGCCGAACTGGGATTAAAATACCCCTTATTTTAGGTTGAGTTAATGTGGGGCGAACCCGGGTTAATTACCTAGCATTAGTTGTGTAGTTAATGCGATGGTGTTGTTATGGTTGCACATGTAGTTCAGCATAAATCTGTTTTCAGTGTAACGTAATTATTTGATGACGTCACATATTCAATGACGTTATATTTTGACATCTGACGTCACAGACGTCAAGCTCCCGCATTTCCTAGTACACGAAATATAACTGATTCATATCAAATTAGCGGCAGCAAGAGGGATTAAGCTATGTTGAAAGACCTGAATAATGACAAATGAGAATACGAATTGTTCAAAACCTTTAAGATTTCCGTCGCTTCTTTGGTAAAAAAATAGGAGCTTTTCGGAAAAAAATGACGTTCTTTGAACACACGGATAGTGGTTGGTGTGTCCGAGGCAGTCGATTAGAAGTACGGTGAAGAATTTCAGACTTTGAAATAATGCATTAAAAAGAATGTCAATATATACAGTGGGCAGATGCGGGTTACAAGTTTGGCGCTTACATTTCTATTTTGGTTGAGAGGGAAAATCCCAAACTGCGTAAAATATTCTTTAAGTGTGAACTGGGGTCATTAATTTGGATTAATAATCCCGGGTTCGACCCGGAGCAGATTTCATAGTGTGTCTGTATTATACCTCCAATCTAGGAGTGGGTGCAACACCATTTCTTGTCCGTCCGTCGCGCGGTAGTCCAAGAAATTTTTGATTCTTATCTGAGAAACTGCCGTACAGAAAAACTTCGTTTTTGGTCAGCAGCTTAACGTCAATGAGTTGCAACTTGTGAATACTTTTCTAGTCTGTCACATACCTAATTCCGATGTGCCGATACTTTGATTTTTTTTCTCTCAATATGTACATAGGGGATAAGCTTAGCACACCAACGGGTAATTTCTTATTTTGGTCTATAAGACGGGGCTTATAATTGTGTTTTCTTAACTGTAAGTTCTACTTCATATACATATACATTCCTCTGGGTTAAAAAAGCCGATAAACTTTTTAATATAATATTTCAAAGTCAGGAACAGTATGAGACGTTGTCTTTATTTATTATGTTTTTTTTTGTCATTTTGCTAATAGTCTCTGTTAAATTTGTCCGTACAATTCTCCATACTACTTACAGTTTGCCAACATTAATGGTGTAGATACTACATTTTGAACAGGACAATACGTTGATATTTAAATTAATTATTGGGCTTTTTGTGTAGTTGGGTTTCTGTGTCATCGCCGTTTCATAATTTACACATCTTTTATTCATTTTTTATATGAAATAAACACATACAAAACTATGAATTTGATTTTTTTTTTTAGATTTTAATTTAATATTGTTGACTTCATTATTAATGAATAAATATTACAATTTTCGTGATATGACCGATTTTCTTACCTTTTTTCAAATTCGTGCAATCGGATTTATGTCGTCATTGGATTTTCCGCAAATGTGACGTCGCAAAATGTAATCATTCTAATTAGAAACATCGCGATATAATAACGTTCTGATTTACAACGTCGCAAAAACAACACGGAAAGTTTTGAGAACGTTATTATCTCCCTTGCTACTGTATCGTATTCCCTTAAACCTGCGTGGTATCTTAAACCTGCATTTTTTCTTTAAAACAAAATAAGTTTACATGTATTGAAGAAGTATTCTTACTAGCGAATTGTTCGAGATTAGAAATCGTCAAGGCCATAGACATCGATTAGAACTATACCGCCATTCAAAAAGGGATGTACTGGTGTATTAAAAATTTTCTGCGCAATGTAATAAAACTTCAATTGTGTTCAACTTGTTTGACTATACGATATATTAACCGTTTGAATAATTTGTTAGTTTATTATTCTTTAATTAAATGTATTTAGTTTATAACGATTAATTATCAGTCGGGAGTAATCATCTGTGTACCTGATTTGTCATTATGTATAATTTTTCATATCTGATGTTTTGTATGACAGAAGATTCATATCTTTGTAAAATAGCATATTCAATATAATTGTGTGCCTTAAAGAACAAAGCAGATTTCTTTCCTGTGCATTCTTATGAAGAAAAAAAACCCCACTCAATTGTGCATGTTTGTATAGAAGAACTTTCGCATTTATTTTTGAAACCGGTTTTGGTATTGATCCTAAAACTAATTATACAGTCCTGAGTCATTCCTATTAAGCAAAAGTAAAATCAGATTAAATTCCGAGCAAGAAAATTAAAAAAAATAAAAAATTATTAATTTCACTGTTTGTCTTCATTTCAGGTTATATTGCTTTAGCAGTGTTAGCAGTTTTCGTCTTTTGTAAGAATTCTCTTTTCATTATTACAAATATATTCAATCATCAACTGATAGAAGAAAAGAGTGTCCATTACTTACTTTTACTTAAAAAATCTTATAGATATATACATGGTTAAAGTTGTGGGTTTTATTCAAATTTTCAATTGTGTCATGCTTATACTAGTTATCTTCTTATTCGATTTTAAGTGTATTACAATGTATTACTAGACAAGAAGAGAAACATATATTGTGAATAATTCATTTCCCATTGTTGACCAAATCATCGGTTTGTTCGGAGTAAACATTTCATTAGACAAGAAAAAATATATATATCATAAGGTTGATAAATATAGATTATACTACTGTATCGATTGTGATACGATATTTGTCAATTCGAGACAGTAAAATTTTCAAATGTAAAACGCGAGGCTCGCCGAGCGTTTTGAATATTTGAAATTAAATTGTCGAGGATTGATAAATATCGTTTTGCACAAGATTTGGTGGTGGAATCTTTTTCTCTAATGATTTGTAAACGATATGCAGACAAATCCAATCCTTCCTTTTTGAATAATCTGCAAACAAGACGTGTATATATACCTCACAATAATGAAATTACACATTTACATTTTTTGCAGATTATTCCAACTAACGAATTCATAATTAAAAAAAATTCGACGATATTATTGGCCTTCGGCTGTTGTCTGCTCTTTGGTCGGGTTGTTGTCTCTTTGACATATTCCCATTTCCATTCTCAATTTTAATTGTTATCTGCTACATCAAAATCCAAGATTGAGGAAGACAACCGAGCCACCTTAAGTACGGTGTAGAGGTATAAATTATGCGCATGAATAAAACCAGAAAGTTTTAAATGGATTGGAAATGAATCAGATAATCATATGTGGTCGTCTTTAATTTAAACGATTGCTGCAAGACATATTTGCTCTGATTTTAACAATAATTTCAATATAGAAATAAACTCATCATACATACCAGGCTTATGCTCCCTTTTCAGTACCACCAGTAATACTTTCACTAGAAACCATTGAACGTGATGGGAGAAATATTGGACTGAAATGCTGCATTAGGTCGTATTTACCACTTACATCTATTATATGGTGTAAAGAACCTGGATATGTTGATATGGATACAAGGTCTTCTAATGATGACTGTTGTAATGGAATAAGAACATTGACCTATATAACATCTGAGGAAAACGACCTAGCAACTTACAAATTCATAGCTAGTAACATGATTGGAACCACGGAAAGCGACCCTGTACAACTTAACGGTAACAACTCATATTGATAGTGCTACAAATAGGTATTGAAATGATCATATCAAAGTGTGAGAAAAAGATACTTTAATTCCGTGTCTAAATTTTATCCGATTTTTTTATTTGCATCTGTTGTGAAAGTCATGTAACCATATTATATGCAGTGAAGAGCAGTCAGATTAAAACAGGAACGCACACAGTATATTATACACATGATAATAACAAAAATATACTAATTTATTTGAAATGAAAAATTACATTTGTTTACGCTAATTTGTATAAAGGTTAAAGCAAACATATCATAATAACAACACAGCCTATTCCTATTTCTAAAATTATTAAATTCAAAATGAACTTTGATAATATTACCAAATCAGAATAGAAGTATAACTGTTGGTTTATTTTAAGTACTCTTAATTAGCAATCATTATATATGATATGAGGCAAATCTAATTCAGCTTAATGTTATTTTAATAAAAACAATTTGTTTATAATAAATGCTTTTACGCTACTCATGCAAATATATGTGCGTTTGACTATAAAATTAGGTCCGATTCAAATTCAAATTAACAGCACTTTGAAAAACAAATGACATGACTTCTTTTGTTTCTTAATAAAACACATTTTCATTTTATATTATAATTAGACGACAAAAGGCAAACGTTTATTCATGAAATAATGTTGAAAGGTGAATGTGAAAAAGTTCATTTTGCGAGACTTGTTTTTATTGGAAAAAATGGAAGCGGAAAAACCAGTTTAATGCGTAGATTACTGGGGCAGAATAAGGAAGATGTCAATTCTACACAAAATACTGACGGAATAGACGTTGGAAACTGCAATATCAATATTAAAGATGGGAAATGGAGCCAATGTGATGGTAAGAAGTTTACATTTATTCAATGGTAGGTTTTATTATAGAAGGCAATGCAATTACAAGAACAAATCTTTTAGTTGTTTGTTTAAAACATAACACATCAAACTTTCTATCCTTTTAATAAAGTTTTGGTACAGTGCTGGTGTATAGAATGACATCTCAAGAATTTAACGAATTAGATCTAATGGTCTGACTGCAAATGGTGATATCAAAGATACATTATCCCTATTATCATGATTATGAATACATGCAAACTTATTTTACATCGATGTCCTTTAAAAAAGAAAGTACAAAGCGAATTATAATTTGTATATGAATAGTATACTCCACTTTTGTACCTAAATTTAAGTCTCTAAATAGCCAAGGCTATTCTAACTATGTGTCTATACCTAAATCATATTAAGGGTTCTTTTCGCTAATTCTTTCTGACAGAAGTGATCTTCTGTATAGGCACTTATTATTAAATTTTCAAATAAAATGTCAAAAAATAGTTGTCGAATCCGAGAGTAAATATTTCAACCTTAGCAACAAATACCATGTATTGCGTATTTTAAAGATAGATGTTTATTTTTTTAAATTACATGTATCATTTGGGTATTAGTAGTGGGGGAAGTGGGGGTTCTGGGCCATTTTGTCTCATGTTAACCCTAAGGGGAAAAGGTAGCCTCCTGAGAGGTAGCCTCCCGATGTGAGGCTAATCTCTATGACGTCATTTTTATGTATTATTTCTGCACTTCAGATTATTAGGTATTATGACATTAATTAATTGGTTTTATTGAACAATGTACATATGTTTATCATTTTTCGAGTATGTATGCGTGTGTGTGTGATGGTGTGTGTGTGTGTGTGTGTGTATAGATTCAAGGTTTTGATCATGCAAATATGAGCAAGGAATTATCCAATACGGTTCTCCTTTTGTGTGATTGTATTCCTTATTTTTCTAAGTTCCTGCTTCTCGAGACCACACTAGTAATAATAACAACAATAGTATGTATAATATTTAATGTCCCCGTCAATTCAGGCAAACATGGGTCGGAGAGCCATCCACATGGTGCCTTTACAATACTGTACATTCAAAAATTGTTGCGAGGTTTTTATTCATGCGAATATTGCGAATGGTTGAGTATCGCAATAATAAGAACTCGCATTTTGATTTCTGAAACATATATCTGTATGAATATTTTCCGAAAATCGCAATAATTAGTCTCGCATTTTTGTCCATTTTTTTAAAATCGCAATAATAAATGCACGCAATAATTTCTGAATTTACAGTATAACAAAATTATATATAACTATTTTATACATCGAAATAAAAGGATTAGAGAATCGTCTACCACTCAACAGTATCTCTAACCTCACGAAAGGGCCTACAGTATGCTATCTTTCGTGCAGGGGTGTAAACTGTCGAGACTTGAAGTTAGTCTTTCCGGGATAGTTAACTCTCTCAAATATCAGATAAATCGCGAGCTTTAATCCAAGAGTTGAATTTCTTTGGACAGTGTAACCATTTCACATAATATTGCTTGTTGGGTCCTTTGCCTTTCGTTTTCAGGATGATTTCATCTTTCCACATATCGTCTTCCCGAACATCCACTTTCTGCACTTCTGATTGGTAGAAGGTTTCTGAAAATGTTTTGTCTTGAAAATCAATAAGTCGATAAACTGGAAGCCCACCACGTAATATTCTTTGAGATATTCTAAATATTTCTCCGCTCCATTTCTCATCGTATTCCCTGGAAAAATGATTTCTTATGTATGTAATCCGAACTTTATCACCGATTTTGAAACGGAAAGGTTTTCGTAGTTTCTCTGTCTTAGGTTGTAATTTTTTTGGCCAATACATTTTCCACCACAGGTTTGTCTCTTTAGATAGGGTGACTTTATCTGGTGCCATGCCAATCGTTCTATGGAAGGCCTTGTTGTTGCTGTTAGCAAAATTCTGTAAGTTATCCACATAGTCATATGACTGCTTAGTGGTGATAAATCTCATGATTTTTTATTTAATAGTCTTGATAACTCTTTCAACATAATTAGCTTTAATTTCTGTATTTTGTGCAAATAAATGTTGAATATTTCTCTGTTTTAGGAGAGATTCTACTAATCTTGATCTGAATTCTTGTCCTTTATCTGTTCTTATTCTGTTTGGTGATCTTCCTTGTGATAAAACATGTTTCAAGGCATTCACCACGGAATCGCCTTTCTTTTTCTTTAGAGGTCTTAGCCATACATATTTGGAGAATATGTCAATCAACACCAATATGAAATTAAATCCACTGTTAAATTTCGAAAATTTAGACATGTCCATCAAATCGACATCCCATTGGTCGTCTATTCCAATAACGATAACTCTGTTCCGCTTAAAAGACCTTTTTAAGGGTCTTTGTAAACTGTATGGTTCCTGTCGTTGTAGCCATTTGCGTATTTTATATTTACTGAGAACGAATTTTCCATCTGTTCGAACAAATCTGTAAAGTTTATCAGGCCCTGCAAAACTCGCTGGTTAGCTGGATTGTAATAAATATTTCTCAAGTACTTTTCCCAAGAGGCCATCTTTACACATGGAATGATGACTATAGAATGACATACAGAGTAAAACGTTCTCATATTTATATAGTTGAGCTTTCATCGACTTCATCCGCCTCATCCTCCTCTTCCTCTTCATCGTCATCAATACTATTTTCACTTTCAGAACCATCATCATTTGGTTCGTTATCAATAGCTTCATCTAGATAGCTTCCCAACATAGGTTTATATGTTCTGATGGCTACTTTAATGGCTTTCTCGTAGTTCTTGCCATCGTTATCTAATTCTGTAATCATTTTCATGACTTTGCCATGCAGTTTACCATTTTGTAACTGTAGTAAATACTCAACCAAACTGCTATATCTGGACAAAAACTGATCCATATCCTCGACTTTTAGTTTGCGATTGGCCTTACTTATTGCGTGGTCTTCAACTCTTTCTTTCCATATATCTTCAGTTGCCTCTCTGGCAATTTCAGCTAATTTTATAAAAGCCATATCTTCTCCACCTTCTATATCAATTTCGTTTACACGAGGCTTCTTTGAGGGTATGTCTTCATCCTCAATTTCCCTTTTTCATTTTAAATCATTATTTTCCGGGCACCACTTATTCAATTCTCTAGCTAGATCAGGAACGCTTTCAAAGACTACACCGCAATCATCACATGAAGGCATGATTTCTTTCTCGTCTGGTAATTACGTCTGCTCACTTTGAAATGATTCTTCAAACTGAGATGGTTCTAGTTCTTTTCTGCTAAAAGAGGGACGAAAGATACCAGAGGGACAGTCAAACTCATAGATCGAAAACAAACTGACAACGCCATGGCCAAAAATAAAAAGACAAACAGACAATTAATAGTACAGATGACACAACATAGAAAACTAAAGACTAAGCAACACGAACCCCACAAAAAACTGGGGGTGATCTCAGGTGCTCCGGAAGGGTAAGCAGATCCTGCTCCACTTGTGGCACCCGTCGTGTTGCTTATGTTATTACGAATCCGGTAAAAAGTCTAATACGGTAAGTCACATTCGTGAAAAGGGAAGGGTATTGTGATTACGACATAAGGAACATATCCGATATCATCTGTGAAACGGTTATTCCTTAACGGTCAACCAACTCGTGATGGCGTCCGTAAAATTTACGAAGGATGATTTCAACTTCACCATTTGGAATAATATACTCTTCAGAAACACCCCCACCAATCATAGTCTTGTTTTCAAATATATTAAGTTTTAGCCTGTCGTCTTCCGGTGTATTCTGTTTCAGATCAATGAATAGACTCCCATATGGTCGTTGTGTCCCCTCTTTGTACTTATTCATGAATTTCTTCGGATTATTAGGATACATCTGTCTAGCAAATATGGCTGGCCCAACTTGATCACGTGGGTTTTTGAATAGGACTATATACTGGCTATTGATGCTCATGGTTCGACTCTCCTTTCCCTTCGAGAACGCATTTTGCAGTATACAAGCTACACTTAGGTTTCTGTCCTCCACAAAGAGTTCACAAACATCCTTACTATTGGTAGCGTCTCTCATTAAATCGTCTGGGATGATTAAACTTGGATATCTAGAGTCAATGAATGAGTCATCATTCAAATTTTCAGGTAAACCTTGAACAAATAAAATGTTTTTAATGGTTTGTTCACTTTACTAAATAATGGCTGCCACCGTTTATAACACCATATAATTCTCTCAGGTGATGGTTTTATCATAGTCTGTGCTGGCTTCAATAATGTTTTCATTCAAAACGTCTTACCTGAACAAGTAGGTCCAGCCAACATCATAGTGAATGGATGATGTAGTATCACATTTTGTGGCGGCGGCGGCAGCGGTGGTGGTGGCGGAGGCGGTGGTGGCAGCGGTGGATATGCATCATTGCTCTGCGGATATGGTTGACTAATTCTGTTTTTGTTTCTTTGGTGACGTATCATAAGGTCTTTTCTCGAAAATTCTGTACCACAATCTGGACAAGTAGTAGACATCTTTGAGAGTTCTTAAAACACGTCCACTTCCTTCGAATGACAGCGTTAAGTGATTAAAATATTGACATACATCATAATTATATTCTCCAATGTCCATAGGCTAAACTTTGTATCCCATCAACTAGTAAGTATCTTTTGTCATCATAAGGGGATAAGCCAAGTTTTTTTTATGAATATATTATACACTAGTAACCAGAATTTAGCTTAAACGGCCAAATAGGTATTAACCATCTTTAAAAAAGATAACTGGAATATTGAATCAGACTTACAAAAATTAAAAACGGTTTTCTATCTTATTCAATCCATTTTAAACTATTTTAATACCAGTAAAATAGATTCCCTTGCGGTCATACAAATTATTTTAAGACCCGGTTAACCTCCGTCAAACAAAAAAACCACGCTCCCGTTAAACTAATTCAAACTGATGTTAAGTCCTTTTAAACTTTAATGTGTCCGCCTCCTTGTAAGGTAAATCACTCAAGCAGAAAGGCA